AGTGACAAAGAAAAATCCGCTTGGCATTGCACCCGCGAATCTGCCTGAACTGCAAAAATGCCAATACGATCAATTTTCACTAATAGTATTTTGCTCATAGATTTGGGAGAACAAGTAAATGGGCTGATATTGCATTATAAATAACGATAGTGGATCACCAACCTGATGTTATTATGATACATGTCTCAGTGATACACCATGATTCATTATCCCTCAATGAATAAGTCATAATATTGTTTTGCCATTTTTAACTGTCGGTAGGTTTCTCCCGCTATCACATAACAAGTGCCGCAGAGCGACAGTGCTCAACTGACGTGTACTGTAGCCAGGTATTCTTCTGATAAACTAACTGGCAACCGAATCAAGTGCGCCCTCCTGCCACCGAGTGCGCGCTCAGAGATTATATCTAGCATACTACTAATACAGATCTAAAATCTATGATAGGCTTTGCTATACCTACTGGTATTACAGTAATAAAGATACAGCTGTGTAACTTTAATGACTTCGCTATATTACCATGTTATCATGGATATGCGTCGAGCGCGAGCGTAGTGTTGGGGGAGGGTGAGGGGTGGGTGGAGGGGGCTCTAATAGCAAAAGCAGTTCAGTCCTTTGTTAACAGTCAACAAATCCATGTTTAAACCTCCTCTGAGAGTCAAAAGGTTATCAGACACTTACTCTTCGCACATCAGCGGAAAGTAGATTTCAAGGTCCTTTCAATAAAGTTATAAAAACGGTAGGTCAGCGCTGAAACAAAAAAGTTTTGCACTCGGTCCGTTAGACCATGTCCTCAGAAAATGTCTGATATCTGACCTTTCCCCCCCTGCCCTTTGACCTGTAACCTCCAATTTCGCGCTGGTGATGGGTTTTCTCCCCATCACACTATACATCGAATATTAAGAGCGTAGGTCGAGCCGTTGATATTTGTGCCGCAATTCCGTATTTCCTCCTATACCTTAAGTTAAATCCCTCCATTGACACATCTTGACCTTTGACCCCCAAATTCGACATCTTGAGTCCTTTTCGCGACCCCCCCCCCACCCGAATATCAAGACCGTGTGTCGAGCGGTTAAGATTTGTGCCCAACTGTTGACGGACGGATGGACGGACGGACGCACGCACGCACGCACGGACGGACAGACAATCATGCGATTCTACAAGCTGCATCTGACTTTGTCAGCTGAGCTAAAAACGATCATTTAGAACCATCATTTTTATTCTATAACTATGGCTATAAGTTACTGTCAAAAAGTAATGCTTATCATCTAGATATCCGACATTAGTTCTTTGATGTGAACACATGTGGGCTTTGCATGAACATTCAACTTTCTAGCTGGCAATGTCATCAAAACCGCTTGGCCTGTACTGCGTCTTGAGGTTCAAGAGTTTACTGAATAGCTAGTTACTTCTTGTATTTCTGCAGAAAGATATTTAATGCATCTTTCAATTAAGCCAGAAAGACGATGTCACTGCTATAAAGATGTTTCCCAATAAGTCCAGTAGACTATATACTGTAAAACCAGTATTTGCCTTTCACCCACTGACATTTAGTTTCCCAAGTAAGGTCTATATATACATATAGATAAATTTACAAACCTTGTAATAAAATGATTACGCATTAATTTTACCCCACCGAAAAAGCAAAATGTTTTTGTCTACTGTGCTTCAATAGTCTTTATAGATTTTTAGAGTACTCTATGACACACTTTTATTTACATTTAAATTAGGTTGTCAATCCTATCCATAGACTAAGAGTCAAGTATATGTATCGCGATTCTTACAAGAACAGTCTTCCCAACTGTTACACATTACAATAGCGTAAATAACTTAATTCCAATTTATCAGCAATTCACTATTTAGAAATTTCATTCATTTTTAAAATAAAGAGAAGGTTATGAGAATGTAATCATATTAATTTGCCAATTAAAACATGTCACTGTGTGTGTAACTGTCAATACAGGCTAATATAGGACCGCGCAATATCTTGGTATAATATAATATATACAATTTCTGGTATATAATAGGCTAATAATGTTATAATAAAGAGCAGTCACAGCACTTGGGGACATGTTAAACTGTGCTGCCACCTACATGTTAGGATAATAAGAACTTTTGAATGAGGGAATATCACACTTTCGTGCCAGAGGAACATGGTAATCGATGGCGACATTATTTAATAAGCCATTATGAATTGTCTTACCTGCAATTACGAGTACATGTACTCTTGTACATGTACTCCTTCCAAGCTTTGTACTACACAGGTCCACAGAGGTACACAGTACACAGCTGTACACACCTGTGTATATTCTCCCAAGCTTGAATGAATGCAACTACAACTGCAATAGAAGGTGAGAATGACACGTACTGATAGTAGAACTTTGCTATATATATACTGACTGAAATGGTTCTTACCAAGCTGGCATATGATTCCTAATTTTCTTTTCGTAAAACTGTTAACACAGTATTTTGTACAAATGAGGTAAAAGAGCTATAATAACTACAAATCACAGAATGTTTTTAAAGGGTTTCGAGTCAAATCTGTGTTAGCAGTTACCTTTGTAGAACAGACATCAATTTCGAAAAGACATGTTTTGCATGTCTGTTGCATGGCAGTTATACAGTAAAACCATTTCTATAGAACTGACATATACCTATAAAGGAGACTTACCATTTCTGTTAATTGACCCATATAAACACAGGTTTGACTGCATACTAATATTATCAAAGATACATTTGCAAGAGAACTATTAAATAGGATGTGCAAAGTACCAATACCTAAGCTTGCTGGACTTCCAGTTTGTTTTCTGTATTTCAGTCTTACAGAAGGTATGGTCTTCTGCTTGCTTGTAGGTTGGCTTTGCTCCTGCTTACACTAGAATGTATCAAAAAACCTTTTTTAATTGTATCAAAAGTAAATACACTAAATGTTAAAAATAACAACGGTGACTTTTTCTTGTTTACCATACATGATGCCAATAGGTGACACCATGCCTAGTGAATAATCTACATCTCACCTATTTGGCATGATGTTCTTTGATACTTCGTCTACAATACATACTCAAGATTTTCAGGAATCACTACTTCATTGAATCACCAGAATCACTACGTCGAACCAAAAATTGAATTGTTTTTGTACATCGCGTGTGTCTGTGAGCGTGTGGATAATTTGCAAAACAACATTGTAGTAGCTATAAGTATAATACATGTTTTGCTCCTTTATTAATGTTGTAACATCAATGCTCATAATGTAGGTTAATGGTACAGATAAACAGAAAAATAAAAAGCTCTTAGGATTAGTTTCAAAGAGGAACGCATTCATATACTATAACATCTATGAAAACATGATCTATATAAATAATCCTAAAAACCAAGTTATGTCTCATATAAAATAATGGTTTTACGCATGTAATTTAGGGTTGCCTGACCATGGTCTCCGACTTCACAATGATTAGCGAAGATGCACGTAGCTAAATTAAGGGCAGTGTTGTATACAAGCTGACAGCACTAACATAGTTTATGTTATTGTTTTTGAAAAAAACGGATAAAAATTTGAACTACAGGAGCTCCCCTACTTACAAACAGGATAGGTTCCTGGGGTTTGTTTGTTAGTCCAAATGTTCGGATACAACATTACTCTTATAAATACTGAAATTGTACACAGCATTGTAAAAAAAAGGTCTGTACAGTACCGGTACAGCTATACCTCAATAATACTCAACAGTATATTTTACCAGCCTTAAACAGTATTACTTAATGTCTGAGGGACAGGGACTGGTAATGGCTTAAAGGTTAATTGTATATATAGACCTTTATTATAAGGTTGTATATACAGACAGGTTTGTTCATATCTCGGACAGCTGGTAACTTGAACATCTGTAAGTAGGGGAGCGCCTGTACCTGGTTCTCTCCAAGTTAAAGGTATTGTCTAGCATTTTCAGCATGTTTCTTATTGTTCAATTAATTCAATTTGATTTTTGCTTAATGACCACAGCTCTAACCCTGTATTATGTATAGCAACTTCGGCTTTGCTCTTGCTAGAAGAGCTACCGGTATCGGCAGCGAAGGAGCTACACTGGTAGAGCTATATATAATGATTATTGCTAAATTAGATTTCCTGTATATATACTTTTACTTGTATTTGTATAATCTTGTACTTATAGAATACTCTATATAAAATGTATCAATTAAGCAACTGTTTATCATAAACTATTCAGCACGTTTATAGAAATACATAATCACTTTTGCGATAACTATACAGTTTATATAGCTAGTAAGATATTATCATGTGCAAGTTACAAATTAGATTTCTACTGAATACTGTTGCATTTAAAAATGTCGATTACACGATTAAAAAATTCCCGTCTCTAACTGCTAGTCACCACACGCACGCGTAGTTTCCAACGAGTAGGATGACAGTCATCTCTACATCAACTCGTACCAGGATTTATCAGTACAGCAACGTTTAGATGATGTCATTTAGTTGTGGTACGTACGGCGGTACGCCTTCGCGTTTTGGTACCGTAGTGGTACTGTAGTGTTGTGAATGTGACTCACGACTGTTTCTGAACGCGATGCTAGAAGTCGACTTAGTGCAAATAATGCTTATTTTCAAACATAACATGCAATAATAAATAATTTCGGGTTGAAATCATGGCCCGATCGCAACGTTAAACGGGTGTTACAACGCTTAAAGTAAACAGCAAACTTACAGGATAGTACAACTCGACATGCCTGCGAAACCATGGATTGTAAATATAATCAAAACGGTACATGCCTACTGTATGTATTCATCCGCTATAAAAAGTTATAAAAATTCTTTAAAAATATGTCAAAAGTTAATTGAGTGTATAAATTAGCTTAGATATGCAATTGTATAGTGTCTCTTAGTAATACAAGAAAATTTTATTCTAAAATTATAAAAATACCGGTTGTTGATAATCGATATAGTGCCTGCTCACCGGCGAACGTGAATAATGTGAATTGGTTATGACGTCATGGCAGTATGGCAGCTCACATGGTGTGTTTTGTTTTGATCGTTAACTGTGCGTAGGTTCAATCAATGTAAATGGTATTGCTGCACAGATTTGATTTATTTATGGGTAGTTTACTCATTAGTTCCGCGCTTAACATTTTACGGTGTAGAATCAGTTAGTGAGTTACTAGTAGTAATGGCAACGGCCAAATGCAATATATACGTATTATACGACATACAGTAGCCTGAGTCAAGGAGCTAAATATATTTAGCTCCTTGGCCTGAGTAGGCCTATCAGTGGCAGTGTAACGTGAGTGATTCACTGATCAATTGACTAACCAAGATTGGTTAATTAGTGTTATTAATAGTCAATTTAGGAAGGCCAGTACTACTACTACTACTACAGGGCTGCTAACGTTGAGTTAGAGTTGAGAGTGAGATTATGCGAGGGAGCGGAGCGACCGATTTGGCATTTGGGGAGGGGCGCAGCGCCAGCGGTTCACCCCTTCCCACACCTGGAAGCTTTTGCATTTTTCAGCTTGAAATTGTGCATTCTGGTGCATACTTAAGTGAGTTTTTAACCATACACATGTATGTAATGCAATACACTGTAGTTCTGCTTTTAGATGGATTAGATACATGCCGGTGTATATATTATATATGGATGGCTCAAAACAACACATCATTAGATCCAGATGAGACGGGATACTAGAGAAGCGTTGCCGAAAGGAGGTGTTGATCCCAAGCGCTATAAGCGCAGATCTTGCGCGCAATTCCGCGGCAAGGCGCACGCGACCGCGGGAACGTCCTACGACAGTATGCAGCGCTGGCAGCTATGGATCCGTGCGCCGAATAAATTGGCCGGCGCACAGATCCATAGCTGCCAGCGAACAGTCCGCAATTTTACTGGGGGACACAGAGGGTAGACATTTGGGACGTGAACAGTGTTGACTTGTTATAAAAACATAATTTCTCTCTTCGGCTCCTCGGCCTCCTCGGCCTCCTCAGCTCTCTCTCGGTTCCTGTGGCAGAGCGAAGGGCTATAGTTCTAGATCTACACTAGATTCTGCTTGGAATTGTATTTACGTGACCTCTACTGTTTGGTCCTTTATTCTGCTTATAAGGTTACCATCAAATTCAATCTGTATAAAAATGACATGTTATGATTCTTGCATCGCATATGACATCCTAAACTAACTTATACACCAGTAATAGTGGATAGCGGAACGGAACTGGAACGATCGAGCGGGATTATTATAGACAGGGGTTTTAGCCAATCAGGTTAGTTGCTTCTTCAGCTTCTTAGGCGAAACTCACTTACATATATAAAACTGTTCTCATTGGCAAGTAAGGATGAGGTCTAGAACCGCTCAGCAAATTGACATGCTCTAGAGTATACTTCGTTTTTTCCCCGTTTTTTTTTGTCTGTCTATTACTAGCTACTGGCCTTTCTAAATCAAGGATAGTTTGGGACCCCGCAATTGTTTTTTTTGCATATGTGCTAAACTAATCCGTGGTGTTAAACTAGGATTGGGCAGCATTCCTTCCCATTTGGACACAACCATAATCTGGAGCCATAGGCATAGTTGTGCCTAGAATGGTATAATAATGTTATATTGAATATATGTGCATATTTTTGATATTATACACCCAATCTCAGGGTGCGAAATTAACGCGAGTCCAGAGTCAAATACTCCCTGATTTACTGTCGGACTCCCTGATTTGACATATGCAGGAGTCCGTGTGACTCCCTGAAAATTCTGCTGTAGTAACTAGTTTGTTCCAGAGCACGGCCTCGCGGAATTACCGCATTTTTTCGGCAAATCTTTAATTTGGAACTTCAGACTACAGACTTCCTCATTTTGCTGTGGACTCCCTCTTTTTGAGGGCAGGGAGTCCGTTGGACTCCCTTGTTCAAAAGTTAATTTCTACCCCTGCAATCTGATTTCTTAGGAAAATTAGGCTGAGCAGCTGTCTTTGGATCAGAATAGATGCTGTATTCAGAGAAATTGGCTTTCATTTAAGATCTGAGACGTTTAATGTGCAAGGCTGCCAAGCTAAAAAGGAACATTTGGTTATTCTTAGCACCAAACCTTGAAATCAATACTAAGCACATGTAGCAACAAAGAAGGTGGAGTTTGACCTAACATCCGTTGATATAATGCCTGCAGTGTGGCTGGGTCTAGAAGCTGCCACTTTGACATGGAATGTTGCAGTACGTTGGTCGTTGTTGCTGCAGAGTTGCATGACCTTTTAAAAGGCATGTTATACGCGAATTTACTGCTAGTAGTGTGCATAATATAAACAGGCTCAGATATACTTATCCCCCCCCCACACAAACACATGCATACATAAAAGTACCCCTCTACAAATTTAATTACCATGATAATGCTAATAAAATTTACCTGCTTAAAAAATAAAAAATATTAATGCTTACCTGATCCTACACCAGTAATCAGAAATTGGGGACCATAAACTTAGGTCTAAAGTGCACTTAACCATTGGACAGCCCCATACAGTGCATATGAATCATACCATACTTGGACGGTATAAATGTAATTGAGGTCCTTGCATATTTTCAGTAAAAATAAGTTTAAATTATGCTACATATAAAAATTTCATTGTTTTTTTTTTTTTATGTTTAAAGGAACAGTAGCCTCTAGGTTCTAGGGTTATTTTCAGCTAATTTAGGTTATAATTGCGCTACATAAAAAGTTTCATGGTTCAATCACTATTAGAAATATTTTTAAAAAATGTTTTAAAACTAACGACTACAGTTTGATTACAACGACGGTGGCGCCACTCAAAGCGCACGATCTGAGAAGTTGCGCAAAATCACTTTCCAGCCAAGGGCTACAGACCGAGGGTATTCCTTATTTATTC